GAAAAATCAAATCTATTTCGAATAATGGCAGAAAGAGTGTACGAGGACTAAACATGGCGGCGGATAAAACGTGTCACGTTCATTTGGAGTCACAAGTCGCGGTATCAACATAATCGGATAGGATGCATAAGAGACTGTTTCTTAAAATTGTTAGGCCTAACATAGCCTGGTGGTTAGAGCGCTGACTCGCAATCTGCAGGTTCGAATCCCTGTCATCGAACATGCTCACCCTTTCAGTCTTGGGGGTGTTATAACGTGATGGCGAGGGGTGTTGTTGACTCTAGCTGCCTATCCTCTAATCTATCGTTGTTAAATTACGGACGGCAACCGCCGATAGTACTCATGTAGCTTTGCGCGAAATTCAAACCAAACTTAAATTTGTTAAAGAAAGAGCATTCCAGATGAAAAGTTGTTATACTACGAACAATCACAAACAACTATTTTTAGTTAAACAAGAATGTTTTTCGAATGTACACACTTCAAAAAGATTCCACTCCCTCGTTAAGTGTCTGTATAATCTCGTTAGAAGTGTCTAAAGGATCGATTATCAAGACGTTTAAACTACAAATGAGTTTAGTGCCACTGGAGTAGGAAGGAACTGCAAAGTGTTGGTGCTTTGCTGGAATGAGATATTGAAAGCTATAAGGATCTGCTAAAAGCAGCTCAGGGCATGCACCCGGAACATTAATATAATTTAAAGTTGCTATACAAGTCAAATATGTAAAACTGGAGTTGGTACAGCACCCCAAGTTCTGACACCTCTGACTGTCAGGTTTGGATGAATTATTTATAGCAGTTTCCCAAACTTTTGTCATCCACGCCTCTTCATCAATAAATGATTTCTTTCACGCTATCTTTTTTTAATTAGTGAGAGAGCGAGTTAAGTCACGAAATATACAGTGTCTTGCAAAAGTTTTCACACCCCTGGACTGGTAATAAATTTTAGGTATTTATTGTGAAAGATAACTCTAATGAACAAAAATATTTACTATATTAATGTCAGACCAGTTTCTAAAGATTCAAACAAAAGGTGTATTGTTACAAAATTTAGTGATATAACACACACAAATCTTGAAATCACGTTACAAAAGTCTCCCCCCCCCCAACTGTTACCATTGTTGATTTAACTTTACGTCACTACCCAGCTAAAGTAAATATAATTTGCCCTGTACAACTCTATCCGATACCAAAGTATATTTATAGTCATGTGAAATAATACTTTAGGTCATATAGAGTCACCAGTATTGATTAAATCAGAGTATTTTGAAAGTTAAAATTTGGTTTTCTGTTACATATTGAGAACGATGAGAAAAGAATCTCTACAGACCTAGGTAGAAGATTGTTCAGAAACACAATTCCGGAGAAGGCTATAAATCAATTTCAAAGGTTCTCAATTTGCCATTAAGTACTGTAAAATCGGTTGTAAAGGTCGCTCTAAAAACCGTCAGAGAAGCGACTGTCAAGCCAACAGTGACGCTGAAGGAGATGCAGACCTCAATAGCAGCAACTGAAGTTACTGTACACACCTCGACAATATTACGTAACTTTTATGGTAAGGTGGCAAGTAAGAAATCACTAATGACGAAGATGCAACTTAGATCACGAATGGACTATGCCCGTAAACATTTCAATAACCATACAACAATGTGGCAGAAAGTTCCATGGTCAGATGAGACCAAAATAGAACTTTTTGGGTTAAGTGCAAAACGGTATGTATGACGGAAACCCAGCACTGCTCACGACCCGGCAAATACGGTCCCAACTGTCAAGCATGGTGGTGGGTCCATCATGCTGTGAGGATATTTTTCTGCAACTGGCACTGGAGAACTTGTAAGCATTCAAGGAATCATGGCCAGTGCAAAATATACACAGATGTTGGAAGTAAACCTGAAGAAGTCAGCTGAAAAACTAAAACTCTGTCGAAGGTTTACTTTTCAACACGACAATGATCCCAAACACAGATCAAAGGCAACCCAAGAACGGTTTCAGAGAAACAAATTTAAAGTTCTTGACTGGACAAGCCAAAGCCCAAACCAAAATCCACTCCAAAATATGTGTCGAGACTTGAAAATTGCTGTGCATTGAATACATCTTTCCAACTTACGAGAGTTGGAGGATATCTGGAAGCAGGAGTGGGTAAAAATATCTCCAGCATACTGTGCAAAAGCTTGTGTGTAGAGGGTTATTCAAAACGACTTTCAGCTGTCATTGCTTCAACCAAATATTAACTGCATAATCATGTTAAGGGGTGAAGAATTTTGAAACAAGTGTTTAAGATTTTTTGGGTGTGTTATAACACTAAAATGAGTAACAAGGCACATTTCGTTCTTTGTAATCTTTAGAAACTGGTCCGAGATTAATATAATAAATATTTTTGTCCATTTAAGTTAAGTCTTTCACAAGAAAATACCTAGAATTGATTACTAGCACATGGGGGGTGGGGATGGTGAAGACTTTTGCAAGGCACTGTAATACATAGATACACACTAAAATATTATACGTATTGTAGTAATTACTTACTATTTTCATTAATAAAACTATATAAAAACGCTCACTTTTTTGCATTATTCACTCCACCGTAAGTGTTCACCCACCAAGAGAATATTTGCGTTACCTGGGGAGGGGGTAGCGCCCCCACACTGTATGTTACATTAAGGAACACGTATAATATTACTGGTTGCAAAATAGAAGTTTTAATAATTTGCAAGCCAAACTGCATTAAAGAAACTTCTACACTCAAGTACCAAGGAAGACCAGTCCCTTAACTCTATAACGTCTGCTCCTGTAAGAGTCACAAGTCAAGAACCCAGCGTGACCAGTCCCTTAACTCTATAACGTCTGCTCCTGTAGGAGTCACAAGTCAAGAACCCAGCATGACCAGTCCCTTAACCCTCTATAATGACTGCTACT